AAAAAAATATATATATATAAAATATCAACACTTTTCAAAGGAAGATGACAGAACTGACAGTATCAAGAATGAATGTGCTGGAAAGCTGGCTCAGCAACTAAGAGTATTGGTTGCTCTTACAGAGGACTGGGGGTTTGATTCCCAGCACCCACATGATAGCTAACAACTGTCCTAACTCCAGTTCCAGGGGATCGACGCCCTCTTCTGACTTCTGCAGGCATTACGTGACATGGGTGCACTTATATACATGCAAGTAATAACACTCATACACATAAAATAAAAATAAATAAAACTGAGCTTGATACGACTAGAAGTTCTAATCTAGAAAACAACTGATATACTAGCAAATATGCAACTACCATTTATGTTCAGAAAGCATGTGGTGGCACACGCCTTTAATCCCAGGACTTGGGAGGTAGAGGCAGATGGATCTCTGTGAGTTCCAGGCCAGCCTGGTCTACATAGTGAGTTCTAGGTCAGCTGGGGCTACAGAGAGACCCTGTCTGAAAAAAAAAAAAAAAAAAAGAAAGAAAGGAAGGAAGTTAAAGAGAAACACCACAATGAATAAACAAATAGTGTTCCAGAAAAAAATCATTAAAAAATTTTTTTGAGTCAGATCCTCATGGTGTGGCCCAGGTTCATTTGAATTATTTTTTCTGGAGAGAGGGTCTCCCTGTAACCCCAGCTGGCCTGGAATTCACTATGTAGACCAGGCTGGCCTTGAACTAACAGAGATTTGCCTGCCTCTGCCTTCTGAGAGCACTGGGATTAAAAGTGTGGGCCACCACCAACCTATGACTTGAAATTCTTTACTTAACCCAGGATGGCTTCAAACTCTTGATCTTCCTGCCTCAGCCTCCTGAGAAACTGGGGTTACAAGTGTACACTGTTGTGGGGTGCTTCACCAGAGAAGACCACTCAGACAAAGTTTTGCCAATTGAAAGTCATTGCTGGCCAGGGCTACCAAACAAGGGTGTTGGAACCCAAGTGTGTAGCCCCGAGCTATCGCTATGGTAAGTTTTTATACAGAGAAACCACAACCAGGGATGAAAAGTTTAAGTTCCCAAGATTACAGGTGCAAAGCCTCCTTAACAATTTCTATTCTATTAAGCAACAATTACTATTTTTCAGAAGCAAGCCAAGCATAACCTACAGAAGCCATAAATCTGCAGTTAGCAGTTACTCTCCAGGACACTCTGACCTGTTCCCAAAACAATTGGGGTCCAGCTGACATGTGTTCCCATACCCTGGGCCAACTGTCTGATAATTTCAGAGACTCGAGTCAGCCTAAACTTTAATGTGGCAAAGCTATGGTCAAGAAGGTGCCCTATTACATCAACATCATGCATAACTAATAAGAAAAATTTGAAACTGGAAAGTATGGTATCTGAAAATTTTTAAATCGCATGTTCATCATCAGATGCTTAAGAGAGGCATCAGTGACCACTAACTCAATAAAAACAATTCCTAAGAACACAGAACAAGGGGGCTGGAGAGATGGCTCAACAGTTAAGAGTACTTGCTGCTCCTGCAGAGGGCCCAGGTTCAATTCCCAGCACTCACATCGTGGCTAACAATTATCTATAACTCCAGTTCCAGAGGATCCGATGCCTTCTTCGGACTTCTGTGGGCCTTACATGAAACGGGCGCACCTACCTTCATGCAAGCAATATACTCATACACAGAAAATAAATAAATAAAATAATTTTAAAATACAGAAAGAAAAATTGGTTTAAAAGAGCTAAGTATGGTGGAAAATACCTATAATTCCAGCAATCAGAATGTGGAAGTCAGAGAAGTGCAAGTCCAAATCCATTCTGAGCTATATGGTAAGACTCAGGTAAGTCTTGGGGCTGGAGAGATGGCTCAGCGGTTAAGAGCACTAACTGCTCTGGCAGAGAACCCTGTTTGATTCCCAGCACCCTCGTGGTGGCTATGAACTGTCCTTAACTCCAGTTCCAGGGGAATCTAGAGCCCTCTTCTGACCTCCTCGGCATTGCACGACATGGGTGCAGGCAATACACGCATACATGTAAAATAAAAATAATAAATATTTTTTTTAAAAAGATTTGGGTAAGACTCAGAAAAAAAAATTAAATAGGGAGTAGTATGCTACAGATGTACATCAGCAGGAGCAGTGTTTGCCTAACATGCACAAAGCCCTGGATTCAATCCCCAGCATTGCATAAACTGGATTTGGTGGCACATACCTATATAAATCCAGCACTCAGGAGGTGGAGGCAAAAGGATCAGAAGTTCAAGGTCATCCTCTGCTAGTGAATTTGAGGTCAACCTGAGACATAGGAGACCTCAATTCAAAAAAAAGGAAGG